GAAACTTGCCATCTTGATGCTAAATTGTAAGGCCTGAAAGAGACTATATGAACTAGCTAGCTAGGATTAAGGAAACAAAGAACTATGAGATATTGTTTGTGACAAATTAACCAGGGCTCAATATGGGTTTATATAGATGGAGATGTGCGTAGGAGGGATCCATCTATTTGTGATCTGTCCCATATGGTTGGTTTAGTTTAGAAAGCAAGACAGTATTTTGAATTTCGTCATTGTTAGCTCACCTTCTTATCCATCTTCCAATATTGAAGACCATGCCATGTCTTCTTTTCCTTGTTGCTGTTATGGTGACAGGTTATGTATTTTCTTACCATTTTTTTCTGAAGTTAGGTAGTACAGGATTCTAACTTGTATTTGTTGACCAATCAAACTATTAAGCTTTTGTTTGGTTATCTAGTTCTGAGTTCAGAATAACAAGTAATCTACGATTTATTTATTTATTTTTTAAAAAAATACTACGTCAGACTCGGTATTTTAGGCAATCAAATCTTGCTGCAACCTTGCCACAAATCACACGCAAAGTTAGTTCTATCTTCTATGTGGTGAGAGTAGCAAACTAAACTGGCCAGGGCTAGTCTATAAGAAAAACTTGAGTATTCCTAATAAGGTTCAGGGCTGTAAAAATAGAGAAGGGGATTGTTTCACTTTCTGATAGACAATTTCTTACCATTTAATAGCCTTCTAACCTATGCAAGATTCATTTTTGCAGCTTCAATCAATTAAGAAACAAAATCGAAAAAATTAGCACACTACAGGAGATATTTTCATCTCCATTAATATTGAGGAGAGGAAGAAATGTTAAATATAGTAATCATATAATTGGATGATTGAGAATTGACAATCATGGTTGAATAATATAAGAGTATAAGCCTAAAGTTCATGTGAAGAATAACCAGTTCTCGAGGTTATCACTTACGGCGACAAAACATCAATCTGCTTTCTGCTCTAGTCTGTAAGCCCAGATTACCTCAATCTTCTCCCTTTTATGTTTCATAAGGTTATGGACATTTGTTCTCTTATCCATGCAAATCTTTTTGGTCCATCTTCTTGAGGTTTCATTTGATTGACTTGAAAAGGATTCGTATACGAGCTTGTGGGAAAGTGCCTGTAGGATCTCATTTTCTTGTTCTGTATTTGGAATCATGATAGATTCCTTGGCTCAGTTTTTATATCTTAAAGTACTATTATGCCTAACTCACAAAGCGTTTGCTGAAGGTTAATGGAAAATTGGCTTCCAGGATGCTCAACCACCAAAATCTTTAGGAAGATATTCCAGAGATTTTCAAAAGAACTCTCCATGAAACTGTGTATCGGATAAGGGAGTAGAATAAAGAAGCTACAGACTCTGCAGAAAAACATCTATAACTTCTGTACTTCATGGTTACTTCCTCGTCCAAATTTGAGTTCATAGGCTAACTTTGTTGGAGAGATTTGTACTAGGAAGTCACTTGGGCTTACATACAGGGATGAACACCACTTCAATTTTAAAAGTTAAACTGATGAATCGCGGATCCATCTAACATATAAGCACTTTAAACTTGTTATTTCCAATCTATGTGGGAATTCTCATTCACATATGAAAACGAATTCCCGTTCAGATATGAACTCAACAAACTTTTGTGGTATGTTTCATTGTATAATGCAAACTTTATATTGCAGTCCATAACCACAAACTTTAACATTGGTTGTATCATGTTAGGATTAGCTATATTAAGACTATCATTTTTTCTTTTTGTTTTTAACCAAATGAAATAATTTATTAAGCTAACTTAATTCGTTAAGAATTTTTCTACTAGCAAATAAATATGATTTATCATTATTAGAAGAGATTAGAAAGAAGCAAGTAATCGGTGTAGGAACTGACTGTGGAAACAAAGTACAGTCATTTATAGAGAACTGGCAATAGCATATGATACAATGGCACAAACAAGTACCAGGAAAGGAGGAAACCGTAAACCATGCTCAAGGAAAACGAAGAAAACCCGAAAGGAACAAATGAATTCCTCACACTACTCCGTCGAGATCGATACAGGATGCTGAATAGTCAAGCATACAGAAAAGGAAACTAACATTGGCCTAATTTCCCGGAGGTGGGGAGAGGAAGGGGATGGAGGGAATTGTAGTTGGGATTGTGGGCATGCTTGGAAGTGGAGGCAAGGTGACCTTAGGGACAGAAGGCATTGTTGGCAGGCTAGGAAGAGGAGGCAGTGTAGGCTTAGGCTGCGATGGTTGAGTGGTTGGCAATGTTGGCAGTGGCAGTGTTGGTATTGAAGGCAATGGTGGCATTGTTAGTTTAGGCAAATTCGGCACCGAAGGTAGAGAGGGCAATTGCAGGAGCTGACGAGCTGCTTCACCTTCTGAACATGTTAAAGCAATGAAGAGAGCTAAGATAAAACAATTGAATCTTGCCATCTTGTTACTGATAATAAATTTTAAGGCCTCACAGAAACAATGAGATGCAAATGAGCAACCAAAGAATCGTGTATATGTAAGGTTGTCTATGACAAAGCAGGGCTTGTCTTGGGTTTATATAGATGAAGATTTAGGAAAGATATATGTGTCATGTATGGTTGGTATAGTAGATTAATAGAGAAAAAAGGACACTGATTTTGAGTATTGTTATTATTAGTTTACCTTCTCATCAATCTTCCATTGAAAACACAATCATTTTTCTTTCTTCTTGTTAACTTTGTTGTGACTAGTTATGTTTTTTTTTTGTTGCTCGCACAGAATTCAAAAATTATTTCCTCTGAGTCCTCTCCTCTGTTTTGTGCAGGTGAGCTGAAAACTAGTTGTTCACAGTTCATCGCTTGTTGGGTAATTGAACTAATATAATATTTGTTATCAATAAGGTTGGCCAATCAAATTATTGAATTCTTGTTTGGTTATCTAGTTTTTTTAGTTAAGAGAGAGAGCTAAGCCATGACAACGTTTTTAAACCAAAAAAACATTAGACTCAGAAATTAACCAATGGAGTATTGGTGCAAAGCCGTGACCACAAAGTCTACTCTATGTAAAAAACTAAACCAGTTAAGTACTAGTGTCAAGTCTTGTAATGGCAATAGAACATATATAAAATGGATATATGCTTTATTCGATTCAATAAATATCCATTAAAAATATCTAATGAGTTTTAAAGTGGAAAAAGATTAAAAAAATGCATATCCACTTATATGGTTATAGATTATGGTTATCCACTTTTTATCCTATTAATATCTATTAATTTATTTAAATGTTTTTATTAACATATAAGGATCTAATTGTATAAAATTTAAAAGTCATAGATCAAAAATATTTTTTCAAAAACTTTAAGGATAAAAAAACTTATAAATAAATGACTAAAATGAAAAAAAATAAATTTTAGGGACCAAAGAATTTTTTTTTAAATTATAGACACTAAAATGAATATTTTTGATAAATTAAATTTAACAACTATTAAATATATATTAAATTAATATGGATCGAATAAAAATTTATATAGTTAATTTTTAATAAATAATATATAAAATATTATTTTTATAGATATGATAAAAAATTAAATTAATACAACCCTCTATTGTCATCCTTTGTCTAATATACAGGATATATTGCATAGGATGGACTTTAGTCTAGTGGAAAATGGGTTGGATATTGGTGCAAAGCCGTAACCACAAAGTCAGCTCTTGTCCAGTGTACAGGATATATATTAGTCCTTGATAACTTTAATGTTAAGCTCTGCAAGGTTCAGTTTTGCAGCTTCAATCAATCAAGTAACGCGACAAGAAACATAGTCAGATGACTGCAGCCACATGGGTCGGAAAAAGAAGACATGTCGTTCTAGAAGAGGGCCTCTGGCTCTTAGTTCAATTAGACCACAAGTTGTTCTGAAACATAGAATAATAACTTTGTGCTCCTGAGTCCCGATACTAGAACTTGGAAACAGACGTCCTCCATTCACCGAAACGGCCTCACTAGCTAGCCTGAACTCTCTTCTAAATCGAAACAGGCTCTCCAGTTGAAACAATCAATTTGGTATGTCCATAATGCTGGATGCACAACTTGTTTAAAGCAGAGAGGAGGGGAAGAAACTTGATGATTTTTCACATTACAAGGACCTACCAACCATAATAACTAGTAATAAACAACATATGAATCTTGATCAGGATAAAAGAGTACGGAAAACTTGTACCTTGACCTGCATCTACTCTGCCTCTAGCCCACATTAAATCTGTGTTTAATTTATCTTTGTTTTTCTCTCTCGCTATAATATTTTATGCTTCATAGCATTTTTTCATCTATGAAGCTTGTTGGTCTACTATCTTGAGGTGATCAAGAATTCCTTCTTCCCCCTAGTTTTTTTGATCGCTTAAAAGAATAGATTTTGCGAATTATCTTGTGCACTGTTTTATCCTCAAATTCATTAATTATCGGGGTTTTTTTTTATCAACTGAAATTATTTATTAATATACATTTCTCAAGAACTTTTCCGCTACAAAAAAAGAAAAAAAAGTGTATGATTCGTCATTATTGAAAGCTTAGCAGGATTAGAAAGAGAAAGAAGTGATTAATGCCGCAATGTAGAAATTTATTGAAAACTAGCGACTATACATTGATGATACAAAGCACAGACCAATACAAGGAAAATGGGAGCCAACAATGTCAAGTACATGTACTAAACCAGAAACTACATATGAATTCTTCACACTATTCCATTAGAGATCGATACATGACACCTGGAACGTACAGAGAAGGAACCATAACACGGTCTAGTTTCCAGGTGGTGGGGAGAGGAATGGAATAGAGGGAATTGTAGTTGGGATTGAGGGCATGCTTGGAAGTGGAGGCAAGGTCACCTTCGGTAGAGTGGGCATGGTTGGCAGGCTAGGAAGTGGAGGCAAAGTGGGCTTAGGCAGTGAAGGCTGAGTTGTTGGCAAGGTTGGCAATGTTGGTATAGAAGGCAATGGTGGCATTGTTGGTTTAGGCAATTGCAGAAGATGACGAGCTGATTCGCCGCCTGAAAATGACAACGCAACGAAGAGAGCTAAGATAAGACAGTTGATACTGCTCATCTTGTTAATTTCCAAGGCCTCAAAGAAATTATGAGCTAGAAATAAGCAAGCAAAGAATTGGATGTGATTTGTGTTTCAAAAACCAGGCTAGTATTTGGAAGGATCCAATCTGTCATTTATGGTTGGCGTAGTTGAGAAAACTGGACATTTCTTTCGAGTTTTGTTGATAACAAGAGAATGGATCATCCTCCATGCAACTTGACAAAACCCATTTTTATAAGAACTCTAAAAACCATGCTTTCATGTTCCAACTCTCCTCCTTCAATGTCATATTACTCTCTATTGTCTCATTCGCACTCATATACGCACACCATGATCGAATGAGACATCTTTTCTCTTTTTACACTTATTTAATCATTCAGAGTTTCTTAACTCACCAATTATATATATATATATATATATATATATATATATATATGCGATGAAGATTCCACGTCATCATCAATTACAATTCGAGTTTTCCTTTGACTTGTCAATGCAGCTGTTGGAAAATTGAGTTTGATTCATAAACTGCATGAACCATAATTTGGGAAATCGAACTGCACTTGAACTATTTAGTTATATACATAATTTTGAGTTAAGAGAATAACTCATCCACGAGAATGTGAAAAGTGAGAAAAAAGTATTACAAAACTTAGCATTTTAGCCGTCGAGGCTAACTGCAACAGTATCTAGCATCAGAAAGGACGTGATAAAGTAATAAAATAAATTGACAAGCCTTTCCTTCCTTTCACAATGAGATTATTCTAACAACAAGAAAAACTTAAAATAAAAACTCTTTTCCCTCCCTTCTGGTTAAGCCTCATTACCTAGGTTTCAAAGCTTTTAATCAATTAAGAAAAGTGAAAGAAAATAATTAAATGTCAGGAGACTGGTCGTCTCTCAATGTATCATCGTAGAGGAAGGACCATGCATGTTCAACTAGACTACAAGTCGTGGTCGTCGAAGCATAAGACTTCGTTTGACACCGACATGTAGTTATCAGAAACAGAAGACGTGTTTCTTCGACGAAAACTGGCTCTAGTTAAAACTTGAATTTGCCCCTGCCCACAAGGATCCAGCTCATGAGCAACTTGTTTCAAGAGAACATTGTTGTGTCCTGCTTTCCTTAAAAATTCTGCAAGTAGCCTAAAGTCCCCCATTTCTAAAGTCAAACCAAGAGTGCCAAAAACAGTCTCCAATGATCACTTTGAACAAGCAAACACCAAATGCTACGCAACACAGTCAACAACGGAGTAGCGATATAGCCGCGTCAAGCTTTCAAGTTTTAACTAGAGCCAGTTTTCGCCGAAGAAACATATGTCTTCTGTTTCTGATAACTGCATGTCGGTGAAACTCTGTTTCATTCATCAACAAGACACAATATCTCACTTCTAATTCTCTATGAATCTCAGTAAAATTCTGTTTCATTCATCATCAGCCGTTGAAAATTCCATTAGAAATTAACATGGATTTGAAAGGTTTTGCTGAAGGTGGAATTGCCTCCATCATTGCCGGTGCTTCCACACACTCTTTAGATTTAATCGAGGTTTTGTGGCTTCTGTTGCTTCAAATCCAATTGATGTGATCAAGACTAGAGTAATGAATATGAAGGTGAAGCCTGGGGTGGAACCACCTTATAAGGGTGCACTGGATCGTGCAATGAAGACGATCAAGGCAGAGGGTCCTATGGCCTTGTATAAAGGGTTTATCCCTACAATTTCAAGGCAAGGACCTTTCACTGTGGTGCTATTCGTCACATTAGAGCAAGTCAGGAGATTACTTAAGGATTTCTGAATATAATGATTAGGACAGCTATAGATTAATTAAGATTAAGGGCAGTGAAAAGAAGAACAAGCATTTATATTTATTGATTAATTTATTCAATGCCGGATATCTGAGTAAAATTATTCTTCATATCAGAAATTATTACTAATCCTATATTGTTTAATCTCTTGTTGGATTTATTTTATTATTTTTCCCTCATGGTATCAACCCTTTTTTTTGTTTTTTTTGGTCTGAGATGATATTAAAAGTCATTGAGGCATTACCAGCAAATCTATTTTGTCTATCATTTCAGTGCCACACTCAATGGACCTCTGAAATTAACTTTATTAATTCAGACAACCAAACGCATCAAGAAGTTCTTTACTACCAAATAAATATTTCAATTCATCATTGTTCAAATCTATGGTTCTTTGAAAAGAGAAATTAAAAGGAAATGTAGAACATAGTAATCAAATTATTGTCTATCAAAGCGCATTCATTTATTGAAAACTGGAATCATAACTGTATATATGATACAATGACAAACAAATACAATAAAAATGGGAACTAACAATAATGCTCAAGAAGATGAACTAAATGAGAAATGAACAAATGAACTGCTCAAACGACTCCATAGAGATCAGTGCACCCAAAAGACATGAACTTATAACAGGACCGCCAATAAACTAGCACAGCCTCTACGATGAGACTGTCTAGTTTCCGGGAGGAGGGGAGAGGAAGGGGATAGATGGAATTGTAGTAGGTATAGTGGGGATTGAAGGCATGCTTGGCAATGGAGGCAATGTGACCTTGGGGAGAGTAGGCATGGTTGGCAGGCTAGGAAGTGGAGGTAGAGTGGGCTTAGGCAGTGAAGGTTGAGTGGTTGGCAAGGTTGGCAATGTGGGCTGTGGCAGTGTTGGTATAGAAGGCAATGGCGGCGATGTTGGTTTAGGCAGATTTGGTATAGAAGGTAGAGGTGGAAATTGCAGGAGATGACGAGCTGCTTCGCCTCCTGAAACCGACAAAGCGATGAAGAGAGCTGAGATAAAAAAGCAGTTGAATGCTGCCATATTGTTTATAAACTTCTGTAAGTGCTTAGAAGCCTATGAGCTATACAAGCTAATTAAGAATTTTATGAGATTGTCTGTGACAAACCAGAGCTAGTCTTGGGTTTTTATAGGTCATGAACATTGGAGATTCAGGAGAGACGTAATCTATCATATGTGGCTGGTGAAGGCAGGAAAACAAGACAGACACTTTGAGCTTTAATTATTATTGCTAGTGTTAGTTCAACTTCCTAAACAATAGAAGTACCAGTTGTTCTTGTTGTTGACCAGTTATATCTGTTTTTTTTTTTTTTTCTTTTAATATATATTTTTTCTGGCTATTGGCTAGTGCCGCAATTGCACTAAAAACTTTTCTATTCTCCTTTATGAAGATGGAATATAAACTTTTATTATTTATTTATTATTATTATTTTTTTTGCCAATAAACTAGCTATTCATTGGATGTTGAGTAACAAGTTAAAAGTAGTTTTGCTGACCACAATGTTGGAAAATCAAACTATTGAACTAAGCCACGAAAATGTCTAAGGAAAAAAGAGAAGTAAAAATAAAATTAGACTATGCATTTAGCCGATGCCTATGGGGACTTTTGAGGGCAATGGCATCCATCACTAAGACATTTGCTAAGTAACAAAATGAACTGGCTAAGGCTAGTCAATAAAGACAACTTGAATTATCCCAAAAGTGATCCTTAAGTCTTAGAATTAGCAGTTTGTTATTTTTTATTTTTAAGCGAAGGTAGCATCAATCTTATGTTGGCCAACTGTTCCGAAATATCTTTCAAAACCTTTGCCATTACTGAACTATTTTATGACATTAATCAATTACAAGAAAAACTAAAAGAGGTAGGTTGAAGCTATTGATAACCTGTTCACCCCCACTTACACTTAACCGTACATGGAGACTGTTTTTCATTGTTCTTCCATTTTCATCCCCTTATGGCCATCCAGCCTCTATTGTGTCTGTGTGTTCCGCTTCACATTGTTTAATTCTGCAACTTTAGGATTACCTCATCTTTGTCTATATATCGAATTTATCTCATAATTTATCCTTATACAGTTCTAATTTTTTTGATTGAGACTCTCTATTATTCATTTCACATGCCAATCAAGAATTGATAAGTGGAAATATGAATAAAAAAAAATTATCACGTGTTGTTGTCTGATTAGTTACCATTAGTTTTAATTTATCATGTATAATGAATAGTTAACGGAGTTATAACGAAAGGTCTCAATTAACAAATTTGTGAGTGCATAAGGTTTCAGAGAAGACTGCCTTTTTAGGAAAGGCAACTCTCCTCCAATCCCATGGAGAAAACGTTTTAGCATAGCTTCTGAAATCACCACCAGCCTTCTTTTCCTTCACGAAACAAAACCAAAACCCTTGGTACATCGCGATCTTAAGCCTACAAACATTCTCTTAGACAGGAATTATGTGAGCAAGATTTCGGATGTGGGTTTGGCCAGGCTTGTTCCGGCAGCTTTAGCTGACAGTATTACCCAATATGGCCTGAAAGACGCAGCTGGCACGTTTTGTTATATTGATCCAGAATATTAGTAGGCAGGACTATTATGCATCAAGTCAGATTTGTATTCATTAGGTCTAATACTTTAACAGCTTATTACAGCAAAGAATCCTATAGGTCTATCCCACCAGGTTGAGCAGGCCGTAGAGAAAGGAACCTTCTCAGATATTCTTGACCCAACACAGATGGATTGGCTTGTAGAAGAGGCTTTATCGCTCGCAAAACTGGCATTGAAGTGCTGTGAACTGAGGAAAAAGGATAGGCCAGATCTCGCGTCAGTCGTTTTGCCAGAGCTAAACCGGCTAAAACATCTTGTATTGGCTGATGAAGCTGATGAAAATCACAGAGTCTTACCACAACCCCATCCTTAAGCTCTACTGCCAACATTTCCTTACCAACCACCTTAGAAGTCCCTCCTCCATCCAGAGCTGGACCCCTTTCCATTGGTGTACTTATCATCCAATTGAAAGGCGCTGCTGCCCTTTTCTCCGATGTCTCCGCCACCATCCTCCGCCAAACCCTTTATTCCACCACTTGTGTGGGCCTTTATGATGTCCTCAAACACAGATGGACCGACGTGATAAATACTAATAACATGCCACTTGTACGTAAGATAGTGGCTAGACTCATCTCCAGTGCTGTCAGGGCCGCTGTTGGGAGCCTGCAGATGCGGCAATGGTCCTTATGCAGGCTGATGGACGTCTCCCGATTGAATAATGTAGAAACTACAAGAGTGTTGTGGATGCCTTAAGTCAAATGTCAAAGCAAGACGGCGTTGCCAGGCTATGGCGAGGGTCGGGTCTTACAGTCAACTGCGCAATGATTGTGACCGTATCACAACTTGCATCATATGATCAGGCCAAGGAGATGATCCTGGAAAAGGGTTTGATGAATGGCGGGATTGGCACCCATGTTACTGCAAGTTTTGTGGCTTCTGTTGCTTCAAATCCAATTGATGTGATCAAGACTAGAGTAATGAATATGAAGGTGAAGCCTGGGGTGAAACAACCTTATAAGGGTGCACTAGATTGTGCAATGAAGACGATCAAGGCAGAGGGTCCTATGGTCTTGTATAAAGGGTTTATCCCTACAATTTCAAGGCAAGGACCTTTCACTGTGGTGCTATTCGTCACATTAGAGCAAGTCAGGAGATTACTTAAAGATTTCTGATGATTAATTAGATATATTTTTTTATTTATTTGTTTAACTTTAATTATATATTGGGAGCAATACAATTAACTTTTTCTTCATATTTGTTTAAGGAGTAATCGAACCTGGGTATATGACCATTGGCAAACTGTAGCTATCTAAAATTATCCTTCACATGATGATTAGGAATCAAAATTACAAGGAAGCCTGATCAAGAAAAATGTATCCAGCTATATTCTATCAAGCATAATAGTATTATTAGTGATTTCATCACCCATATAAATAAATAAATAAAATCATTTTTTTTAGTAGTTTGTATAGGACTAATTAAAATTTTTTAGGATAAAGTACCTACATTAATTCTGATTTCAAAATTTGAGTGCTTCTTAGTAAAATAGATTTCATGGAAAATTGAAGAAAATTACTTGACGTGAACAAACTAAGTTCAATGAGATTTAACGGTCAATTTCATATGCTTCTAAATCAACCAAGTTTAATAATTTTGAATAATGTTTTCAATTCCTTTATTAAAAATTCAGAGCTCATTTTGTAGAAAATGTAATTAGTAATTTCTTCAACATGTCAATGAAAAAAGTTCATCATTGGTTGATGTGCTTAATCGATTGATTAATATAAGTAAACATAGATTATATTAAAAATCAAATAGCTAGGTCAAGAATTTTTCTACTAAGTATGATTATTATTATTTATAGCTAATGAACAGAATCAGAAAAAAAAAAGAAAAAAAGAAAAAAGAAGAAGTAATGTGGAAACAAAGTACAGATATTTATTGAAAATTGGCAATTTACGATACATGAATGACAAGCAAATACAGGGAAAATAGAAAAGAACGATGCTCAAGTACTAGTTGAATCACGTACAAGAAACTAACAAGATGAATTCTTCATAGTACTATTACTCCGTAGAGATCCATATACATGATACTTAATACTCAAAGATGCACAAAAAGAATAGTAATATATGGCCTAGTTTCCAGGTGGTGGAGAGAGGAATGGGATGGAGGGAATTGTAGTTGGGATAGGGATAGTGGGGATTGAAGGCATGCTTGGCAATGGAGGCAATGTGACCTTGGGGAGAGTAGGCATGGTTGGCAGGCTAGTAAGTGGAGGTAGAGTGGGCTTAGGGAATGAAGGTTGAGTGGTTGGCAAGGTGGGCTGTGGCAGTGTTGGTATAGAAGGCAATGGGGGCGATGTTGGCTTAGGCAAATTGGGCAATTGCTGAAGATGACGAGCTGATTCTCCCCATGAAAATGACAAAGCTAGGAAGAGAGCTATGATCAAACAGTTGCAACTTGCCATCTTGCTGTTACCAAGCGTGCGTTAAGGCCTCACACAAAAGACCAGAAATGAGCGAAGAAAGAAATATTGTACGTGACAAACCAGGTCTAATCTTGGGTTTATATAGAAGATGTAGTTGGAGAACATATATCTACCTGTCACTAAGGTTGATGTAACAGCTTGAGTTTTCGGTTTTGTTATTAATTGTTAGTTCACCTTCTTTTTCATCTTCCGTAGAAAGAGAAGAAAAAAAATCGCATGTATTGTTATTGTTACAGTTGTTGTTATAGATGTTTTTTCTTTTATTTTCTTTCCTTAAATCCTAAGCTAAATTGTAACATATCTTTGAATTTGAGTAAAAAACAGATACTTTCTAAATAAAAAAATATATATTATTTTTCAAAAAATATGATTTTTTGAATGTTTTCTTTGTGTTAGAGTTTTATTGAAAATTTGACAAAATAATAATACTAATAAAAATAAACATAAAAAACCTCATTAAAATTATCTCAAATTCCTATTATTTTTTGCACCAATTTATAAAACATGTTTACTAATAGTGGAGTTGAGAAGATTTTGAAGAGCTTTTTTGTCAATTTCTAATAAAAATGAAAAATTTTGTTACCACCCAAATTTTGCATGCCTCAAATAGTTTTGCACCAACTTACCTTGGTAGAAAATTTTTAAATAAGTAGCCTAATCTATGAAAGACATAACAAAGAAAAATGATTTTTTGAAAATTCAAAAAAAAAAAAAAAAAAAAAACTTTCAAAGACAAGTTCACATAATCAAGCACAAACATCAAAAGAAGATGAATGACATGAGTAACAACAATAAAAGATAGATAACAAACAGATTATCATTACCAATGCTTCGAAACATGCTATGTTCGGATTGGTAGCAAATCTATGTCAATACTAGAAAATCAAGCGTTTTAACTTCTCTCTTATTCGAGCAACAAACGAGATAATTTGAGTTGCTATAACCAAAAAAACCACCTCCATTTTTTATTTAAAAAAAAAACAAAAAAAATAAAATAAAAAAAAAACAAAATATATATATATATACAAAATATGTATTAAAAAAAATAGAGAAAAAGGAGGAGGGAAACAAATTGAAATCTATCCCAATTCTTTTTCAAATTCGGTTTATCTCGGTTGAATCACCTTTCAATAACGGAATTGAGTTCAAATTGGATAACTAAATAATCCGAATTTGAAGGTATTTGATTTAGGATGAAACTCGAATTTGAAAGTGTTTGATTGGAAGTGGAACTCAAATTGTCAATATCTATAAAAGGCAGACATCCCGAATTTAGAAAAAAAAAACGGGAAAGAAGTAGGAGCAAAAATTTCAAGCTTTGGGCGCAGTAGCATTCTATTTCCTAGCAATGTTCTTTAGGCTTTTAATTCTAGGAAAGTTATTCTCCACTTAAAGGGAATTTAAGGTAGAGAAAAGGAGAATTTTTTCGGGTTAGAGGCTTAATTTTTTTGGGTTTCATGCTTTTGATTTTTGGTTCCCGCTTGAATTTCTAGGCTAAAGTGTCACCTTGTTCTTCACTCGTTATTCATCTAGGTTCGGGTGTCCATATTTCTAGGTTTTCCAGAAGAGATTTCTAGCCTTGCTCACTTTGGTTTCCCGGGTTCTCAAGAACACGGGCAATGCAGTGTTCATCCATTCTTTCCAAAACTAAACGAAACAAACGCATAACTTCCCAAATCTCACAACCAACCACCTACAACGAAGGCTTCGATACCACTATATAAGTTTCATTCAATTCTCTCCAATTCATCAAACTTCACCTAGGTAACGTATTTCGTTCAATTTCTTTTCATTCCAAATTCAATTATTTGGTTTTACTTTAGAAAAATGGAAAGAATGATAGTGACAAAAAATAACTGGAAATAGGCCACCCAACCCATTTGTCACGAGATCACGAGTAATGAGGATTAAATTCAAGTAATTACTCTAGGATCGGTAATTCGAGGGAAGGAATTTCGTTTGGTAAGGTTAGGAATTTAGGATTACACCCGGGAAAATTAAGCTGGGATGAACGAGAGAGAGAGGACCGAATGCAAGCGACCTTGTCGAGAAAAAAAAAGGAAAGGAAAAAGAAAATGGAGAGATTCTAGTTCGCTCATGGTGTTTGATTAGAGAAGGAGACGAAAGAAAAAGAAAAAAAGAAAAAAAAAGGGAAATTGCGGGAGAGGATAAGGAAAAGAGAGAGTCTTATCCAACTTTTGAGAAAAAGGAATAAGAGGAATTTGTGATTTAGGACGACTTAAGGATATGGGATGGGCCTAGCCCAACCCATGTGAGGCCGAGTTGGACTAGACCCATTCCGAGCCAACCAGCTTTTTTTTTTTTTTTTTTTTTAACAAAAAAAGAAAGACGGAATGTAAAGAGGATGAGTTGGACTGATTCAGCTCGGTTTTCTTTTAAAACAATAAAGGATGAAAGATTAGGAGCGGGGAAGAAAAAAAATGATAAAAAGGGATAGAAAATGTTAGATTCTTTTTCTTACACTTAGTATTTTATATTCAATTGACCTTTAACCATTATGATAAATTACAATCCTAAATTTGTTGATGATTGTTAATTATATTTAATTTAGAATTGTTTGTAATTACTTTAATTAGGATAATTTTAGTTTTTATTCATTTTATGCTTGTTTTGTTTGTATTCGAAATTTATTTATTTATTTTTGTATTGCTTTTAATCAATAGAACCTCACTTTACCTGTTTAGTAATTAGGCTTATTGAATAAAAAACAAAAAAATAAAAAATAAATAAAAAATAAAAATTTCAACGAAGTCTCCTTTTGATAGGGATTGTCATTTCGTGGTGAGGTCTCTTATTCGATAGGGACCATCGTCACCAAAAATCATGATTTAATAATCGGGATGTCCTTCAATGCATCGGTTGCATCGAGGTTTAAAATGGATCCGATGTTTGAACCGACATATTGCCTAACGAAGGGGATAGACGATCATTTCAATATGATGCCACGCTCAAAAATAAAAATCTAATTTTGCTAAAAAAATTGTTTAAAAATTAGAAAACAAGTTGACATAAATAAACAATGTAGGAGATAAATTTAAGACTAAAACAAGATGTGATACCTTTCTTTGAAAATGGCATTTTTGGGGTGAATGATTTTTTTCTTAAAAGTGTAACTAACTCCTTACCATAAAATCTCTAGACCGAGTGTTATTTTTAGATTTCTAGTTCCTCAATACTAGGTGGTGACTCCAAAGCTCTGTAAAAAAACTTATAAATATTAACCCATTAGAATTTAATTTCAAGGAGTCCCGTTGACGTCGAGTAGCGATAGTTAGGTAATAAGTTTAGTTTTTTAATTTATCTCCTGTATTTATTTTTGTCAATTTATTTTCCGAATTTATTTTTTCTAAGTAATTTATTTTTTGCAATTTATTTTATTGCTACATGTTTATTTCTTGAACTAGGTTGTGTATTTTTCTTTGAGTTGTTGCACACACTACGAAGGAAACCTATAAAAGTTACGGATCCGAGCTAAACCCTAATAGGACTTAGATAGAGGGATTTGGAGGCGAGTATGATGAAAGTCTATTAATGCTCTTCCGGACTCTCTTTTGGACAGAAACTCACCCTAGACATAGGAAATGGTGGAATAACCTTCTCCTATCTCCTAGTGTATAAGGTTAGAGGTCTGTATTACCCCATTGGTAATTTACGGTCCATAAACTTGAAAAATCTTTAGGATTAGTCAAGCTTTGTACCCAAATATAGAAAAGCTAGATCCTATCTATTAGGATTGACCAAATTAAGACATGAATTATTATCAAATGATGTCGATGCTAATCCTTGGTTTTGTAGCTTATTCTTTATATTAAATCATGAAAGAAGAAATCGAAATGAAGTTGAGGATTTTAGGGTCGGATCCGAACGGGTCCAAAGTGATGAAGGAGATTGTCTATCTTTGAATTTCATGTCGAAACTACCGGAAAGGGTCGGATTGGCCGACAAGATGGTCAACATTGGTCAACTTCTTAGTTGTTGGAAAATGCTCACTCCCGAAGATAGATCCGATTTCCAAAAGACATATGGCGGCATAGCTTGTCCGATCAAGTTCAAGGCTCGGATTGTGTGCTTCCAAGCTATGATAGAACATTGGGACCGGATTATCATTGTTTCACTTTTTGGAAGTGTAGACTTGTCACCTACACTCGAGAAATATAAGGCTCTGCTAGCATTTCTTGAAATAAAGGTTGTCTACTTCTATAGTTCACTCGATCATGGTCCATTAAATTTTACATGGTTGACTATAATCAATCTCTCCTTAGCCAAGAATCAACTAACCACGAGGGGTAAATCTCGAGGTTGGTTTTGGGACATTCTCTAGCGGAATTCATAAAGCACTTGTAAGATCTTGATAATCAATTTAGACTCTACATTTTGGCATTAGCAATAAATGGGCTAGTATTGTTGCCATCGATCGAAGGGATGATCGATATTGAGGTCTGTCGATGTATTTATGAGTGTGGTGTCTCTCAAAGTTAAACCCGTTGTAGCGATTCTTACGAAACACTCTCCTCATTAAACTTCTATCGAAAGAAAGGAGGTGGAAATTTGAGATGTTATGTCCAGTTGTTTGTATGGATCTGTAAGCCACGTAATGACTAGTGAAGCCTTTGGCATTTTTCATACCCCATGGCATCTGCATTCTAAGTTAGAAAATTTTGTTTGTCATGCCCTCAATGAGTTAGGCAAGACAATGTGGGCCAAGTTATTCTTCAATTTAGAGAAGTTAGAATTTCATTGGAGAGCACGTTATGCTTTTTTCTAGAGCTACACAACCTTTTATGGCAACTTTGTTTGGGTGCTACTAATTAGAGCTCGTTGTTGCATCGATTCATTGTCCAAATATGTTTTTAAGATAGTTAGGGTTTTAACGAGTTCATCCCAATAACGATCGGTCTAAACGAGTATTATGAAGATCCGAGGGTTTCTAAAAAGTTAGAGAAAGCTAAAGTCTGTTT